AACAAAAAAGAATTTATATTCTGAATAAATTAGCTTTTTGAATAAATCAGGTGAACCAATGGCTTACTAATTAATTAACTGATTAATTAAAAGTCATTTAATTCATTCTTGAAAGAAACAAATCAAACAAATAAATGACTCTGTGACTTGACAATATTATATTGCAATTGTCATTTATGTAATAATTGATATTTAAAAAAAACATGAAAATATCGAGAGATTTATTGGTGTCGTGCAAATAAATAAGTTCTAAGTTTAACATTGCTTTACTGTAGAATGTTGCTTCTCAATAAAAAAGTCATCCTCAAATACATATTTATTCAATAAGATTTTTCAATTAAACTTCATCAGTTCATCGTTAACATTTTATGTAAATCTTGCTATCTAGTTTCATAACAATGTTGATATTACGTAAAATTACAGTATGCATTTATGCAAAAGATATTGCTAACAATTACAGTATTATATAACCAAAACTTAACAGCCAGTTTCTGCAGTAAACAGTGGAAAAATCCAGAACAATTAGTGTTTAGATCATCGGCCTACATTCTCCTTCTGTTAGGGCGTGTTTTTTTTCTTTTTCTTTTGGAGATTTCAAGGGATTAAGAGTCGTCTTTTTATAGGAATATTTTCAGCAGGCAACTCTATGACACAATTCATCCAGCTAGTAAATTTTGTAACTCACCTAAGTGTTGTTTAAACTAAAATGACCTAATTTCAGCTTTCAAACAAACAGGTATTCTTTAGCTTGTGATCTGCAATAAATTTTTGAACTTATTAGAAAACCTTTGACAACAAAATGTGTATTGCTTTTTCATATCATGAAACACACTGCTGCTTATCTGTATTCCCTTTGCCTTAAATATACATCAGCTAAATCATATAATCAAAATGTTATCTGTCTGATATATATACAGAGTTTTTGCTAATTCAAAGAATGCAACATTATGCAGTCATTCCTTCTGTGTACTGTAAATCTAATGGCCTATTGTGAATTTGAAAAGTCAAGATCCATCATTTTTTTAAAAATATCTTTCATATACAGTATGTTCATATAATACTGTATATGCAGCGTCACATACACTCTCAGAAATAAAGGTAGGAGCTGTCTCTGGGCCAGTACTTTTTCAAAAAATACATGTTTGTACCCAAAGAGTCTACAGTGGTACTCAAAGGTGCATTATAGTGTCCAAATGTACATAAAAAGTACTTTTGAGGTACCATAATGGACCCTCTAGGTGCAAATATGTACCTTTTGAAAAGGTACTGCCCGGTGGGTGACAGCTCCTGTACATTTACTTCTGAGTGTATAGTATACTCATATACAGTGTGTGTGTGTGTGTGTGTGTGTGTGTGTGTGTGTGTGTGTGTGTGTGTGTGTGTGTGTGTGTGTGTGTGTGTGTGTGTGTGTGTGTGTGTGTGTGTTAGTGTGTGTGTGTGTGTGTGTGTGTGTGTGTGTGTGTGTGTGTGTGTGTATACAGTTGAAGTCAGTATTATTAGCCCCCCTGAATTATTAGAACACCTGTTTTTTTTCCCCTGTTTCTGTTCAACAGAGAGTAGATTTCTTCAACACATTTCTAAACATTATAGTTTTAATAACTCATCTCTAATAACTGATTTGTTTTATCTTTGCCATGATGACAGTAAATAATATTTGACTAGATATTTTTCAAGACACTTCTATGCAGCTTAAATTTATTTTAGCCGAAATAAAACAAATAAGACTTTCTCCAGAAGAAAAAACATTATCAGACATACTTTGAAAATGTCCTTGCTCTGTTAAATATAATATGGGAAATATTCAAAAAAGCAACACAAATTCAAAGGGGGGCTAATAATTCTGACTTTAACTATATATATATATATATATATATATATATATATATTCATATAGTGCACTTTCTTATAGGACATCAAGTCAAGGACTTATTTTTATTAGAACTGGTGATGCAAACAAATAACTTTTTTATAATGTTTTAAATGTTTTTTTTCTAATATTATTTCATAAACTGTAGTTGTCTCACACAGTTAAAAAAGAACTATAAAATTAGCCAGTGCATTTACATTGTTTTGTTTTACCAGCATTTGCTATATATTTAAACCACAACAAAAAGCAACACATAATGAAAAATTACACAGAATTTATCACAAAATAAAAAATTGCGGTAACTCCTAAAGACTTTGCAATAACTATACAGGTAGGTGCTATTCCCTCTAGATTGTACATTCTTTTTAAAAACAATACAGTATCACTAGGAACCATCATCATTCCAGAACCAGTTAATTCCAGAACCAGTTACAAGTAAAATTTGTTTTGCTATAAAGAAAAATAAAGACTATAAAATAAGAGCTCCATTCCTCAAAAACACTATATCTACCCCTCCTGCTATCTCACATTACAACAGTCTTTTTGATCATTTAAATTGAGAAAATATTTGGTGTATACAGCAGAAGTTTTTCCTTACTAATAATGTAAAGAAATATATTTTAAATCATTATATAACATTTACCCTGTCAATAACTTGTCAGAGACCCTGTCAAAGACTTTGATACAAATTGCTTCTTTTGTCAGAATAATGCTGAAACTCTTCCTTACTTATTTTGGTCATGCAACTTTGTGTTCCTATTTTGGCAAGGTGTTAATTTATTTATCTAAAATATCACTTCACAAAATTTTTCTGTCGCTTTCAAAAGTCATTATTTTTGGGATTTTTACACAAATTTTAATGTTTGCTTTATTCATTCATTCATTTTCTTTTCGGCTTAGTCTCTTTATTAATCTGGGGTCGCCACAGCGGAATGACCAGCAAAGTTATCTAGCATATGTATTACACAGCGGATGCCCTTCCAGCTACAACCCATCACTGGGAAACAAACACACACAGTCATTCACATACGGTCAATTTAGCTTACCCAATTCATCTGTACTGCATGTCTTTGCACTCGTAGGGAAACCGGAGCACCTGGAGGTGGATCGTGGGGAGAACATGCAAACTCCACAAAGAAATGACAACTGACCCAGCTGAGGCTTGAACCAGCAACCTTCTTGCTGTGAGGCGTGTTTGCTTTATAATAAACCTTATTCTTTTTTATGCAGATTTTATATTAATAAATGAACATTTTCAAATTGCAAGGCAATATTTACAGCATTTATACAAGAGATTAAAAATGATTTACAATTCCAGATTTACGTAACAAAAAAAGCATGCAATATAGGCCTATATACAATTTGCGCTACCTTCTTTATATGTATAATTTTTAAAATCTCTAAATTGCTATTCTTTTCTTATATTGCCTTTTCACTCTCAATTACTTTATCTATTATATACCTATACACATATCAGATAACCTGATATTTCTTTGTTTTTTTATGTTTGATTGCTGTTTTTTTTTTTTCATCTTTTTCATTCTTTATTGGCACTATTGTAAATAATCCAATTACTTTTATTGTAAATTATGTGTGCCAAATGTATCGTTCTGTTATACAATAAATGTTCAAAAGCAGGGGGGTTTTGGGTAGTTTGATGTGCAATTATCCAATTTTGAAAGTATGCTATCATAATTTGTGAAAATAATTAACAAAAGATGGCTTTAAGAATAATAATCAATAAAATAACCAACAAAAGAAGGTTTTTTATTATTTAAATGGACAAATTCTGAGGAAATGAGATGGCCACTTTTGGATGGCTAGTTTTTAATTTAGCTTAATTTGACTATTTTTAACATAATTCCACTTTTTTGATGTTTGTTTTTTATGATGGATAACAAATTTGCATTAAAAATTTTAAAATTAAATTTTTTTTATCTCATAACATTATATATAAAATTGTAATAATTTACTGTTTAAATGCTCATTTGTGAATAAACACATTTTTGTAAACAAAAAATGGTATGATAAGCACTGGCTGCATGGTGGTGCAGTGGGTAACACGTTTGCCTCTCAGCAAGGTCGCTTGTTCAAGCCTCGGCTGGGTCAGTTGGCGTTTCTGTGTGAAGTTGGAATGTTTTTCCTGTATTCAAATGGGTTTCATTCGGGTGCTCCGATTTCCCCCACAGTCCAAAGACATGGTACAGGTGAATTGGGTAAGCTAAAATTGTCTGTAGTGTATGAGTTTAAATCATGTGTATGGATGTTTCCCAGTGATGGGTTGCAGCGGAAGGGCATCCGCTGCATAAAACATATGCTGGATAAGTTGGCGGTTCATTCCACTGTGATTAATAAATGGACTAAGAATCAAAAAGGGACTAAGCTAAAAAGAAAATGAATGAATGAATGAATGAATGAATGAATGAATGAATGAATGAATGAATGAGTGAGTGAGTGAGTGAGTGAGTGAGTGAGTGAGTGAGTGAGTGAGTGAGTGAGTGAGTGAGTGAGTGAGTGAGTGAGTGAGTGAGTGAGTGAGTGAGTGAGTGAATGAATGAATGAATGATCATTTTATTGACAAAAATGTTGTTGCATCAAAAAGTGGGGTAATAACTATTCGAAAAGCTAATCCAGCACAAATTAGTGCTTGTCACTAAAATGCAGTATTTGAACCTCGAATAACTGCCACTTTTTGCTAGAAAAAAAAGAACCACCCCTTTTAATTGGCTTGCTACGGGCTTGCTGCCATGCAAAAATTCGTAAATAAATAAATAAATAAATAAATAAATAAATGCGTATAATATTTTATGCTCTCAGTTCAGTTTCAAAGATATTCGAATTAATGTTCATGAAAAATTATTTTCCTTTCATTGACAATCAGCGTTAAATAGTTGACTAAACTCACTAAAGCATGTAAAATGGCATGCCTAACATGCCTTCCCCTTCCCTCTCGTCACTCATTCAATAAAAAGTGATCGCCAACTTCAAACGCATGGTGGGATGGGATGATTTTACTTTCGTTGAGACTGACATTGATTCATCAGCTGTACTGTACATGCTGTCCTAACGCTCAAATACACGTGACGAAATAAAACCACGCCCTCTTTGAATGCGCTTTAAAAGCATCGAGAAGCGAGAGAGGGGTAGAAAACACACAGCTTGAGTGAGAGAGTTCGAGCGCGGCTTCATTGAATGACAAAGAGTGATGTTTACTTCCTACAACTACTCATGTCGTGTATTTCCTTGGCAATGACCGCTTTTCTACATTAGGACGCTGAGGACAACTTATTTGAGCACTCATTTAAAAAATAAAGGTACGTGAAGGAACCTTAGATATTCTGCAGGATTTATAACCACCAGTCGTTTGTAAATAGGTTTAATAACCTTATCTTAACTTGTGTTTTTTTATTTTCAGCAGACATTCCATTTCACCATCATCCGTATCTGAGGTTCATCTGATAACCAAAAATGAGCATCACAAAGTAAGTTTAGTTGTTCACTGCACACAATAATACATGTGATATCACAAAAAGCAAAACAAATATTTTTGTTCTTGTTGTTGTTAGGTTACAATATGATTTAAATATAATTTATTAGTTGTTTTTTTTACATTTAATATATTTTAATATTGTTTATAATTTAATGACCTGTTGTCATAACAATAATAGTCAATCATTCTTAATTTTATATCATTATATATATTTTTTTTAAATCAGCTTAAATTTAGACTATATTTTCTGACTCTTGGAAATTATTGCATGTATTCCAAATTGTCTAATTGTATTTTTTCTCTGTGTTTTACAGGCAGTATGTTTTAAGTAGCAACCCTTTCCCTGAGCATGTGATGCCAGTTGATCTGTCCATGAATGCACAGATCACCTCTTTCGCTTCCAGGTCCTCTACAGACCGGCACAGATTTTCACCATCTTCACCTACATCTTCACTGTCCTCATCCAGCTCTGGCGGCTCCCTGTCCTCCTACTCTTCGGGTACAAGCACACTACGCAAGAAAAAGCAAGTTGTATTTGCTGATTCAAAAGGTCTCAATCTTGTATCCATCCGCATCTTTATCGCTGACCCTTCAGAGATGGAAACAGAAGAGGCAGCACAGTCCGAGGAGCTTGTGAAGCCTAGAACGCCAGTGCAGAACCTGAGATTTAAAGTGAAGCTTGGTTTTTCACAGCCTGTCCCAGACATTGCAAGCTTGATGAAAAACTTTGTGCAGTTGGAGAGCTGTAGAGTGAAAGGAAGGTTATTGAGTGGAACTGTACGGGTCTTCAACCTCATGCTTGACAAGACTGTTTTTGTCCGCATTACTTATGACTCATGGCGGAGCCACAGAGACATCCCATGCATTAATGTAAGAGAGCCACATTTATCTTTTCAGACTGCTTTGTTTGAATTTATGGAATATCTACCATCTGATCTGGACCCAAAGGAGCTGCTAGAGTTTTTTGTGGTTTTCTGTCCTGGTAATGTCAAAAAGCAATATGTGGACGACAACGAAGGTAAACAATACCAGTTACATGTGGAAAATGTGGCTGCAGAATCACGTCTGGGGTCATCGGAATCTCGCCTGGCACCATTAGAACACCGTCTGGTGTCATCAGAATCTCGCCTGTCACCATCAAAACATCGTTTGGTGACAACAGAGCATCGTCGAGCACAATCAGAAGCTCATCGATTGGCAATAGAGTCTCGCACAGTTACGCTAAGGCGGCGTTCCTTCATTACACCAAGTCCCCAGTGCTATTCTGCATGGCCAGCAGAAAGAGTTCTTGACCAACAAAGGATGACAAACATGACATGCAGAGCCTCACCAGACCATCGGGTATCCAAGAATTTCAGATCGACAAGTGTTACTCAAGTAATATGTTAAGAACGCTCTAATCCAAGTTAGATTCAGTTGCAGATTCGGCCAAGTATGAATACAGTGACTTTCTGCACCTCATGAATTATTGAATGGACTTCTGTTGCACAGTACTTGCGGGTTTGCACATGCTGCTGAAGCAGTTTAATGTTAATGTTTACCATGCACATGTAAATATGTTTTAATTTGCACTTTACGTATTTACACTAGCTTATACAGGGTTAAAAGATAACTGGTTCACTTTCCCTATCACCCATTTTTTCAGTCTTGAAAAGGTGAAAGTGAAGTGTCCTATGTCACATTTAAAATCCTATGTGTGTGTGTGTGTGTGTGTGTATATATATATATATATATATATATATATATATATATATATATATATATATATATATACAGTTTGTACAGTATATATAATAATTATGTATTTATTTTTCAACTTTTTTATTAAAAAAAATTAAATGCTTTCAATGAACCTGTGCATAATTTCTCATTTCACCTTACACAGCAGGAAATGGAATTGTGCCATTCAGTCAATGGTTTTTGAGGCCAAAAACAAATGTTGAGCAGAAGCTGGTACATGCCGGGGGCGTTGTCATGCCTAAACTGGTCTCATGACTTAATCCTGTCAAGACACTCCTTATGTCTATTATTTGACTGAAACCGCACCTAGCAACCACAAAACAATTAGTTTTCAAGAATGTTCCAGCTGTTCTCATGGACATAGAACATTTCATACCTAAAGTTCCAAAGGTATTTCACAACACTGCATGGAGCTTTATTGTCACAACAATGTAAAATAATAAATGTAAACTAAATAAATAATATAAAATAATTAGATCTTAAAAACAACATATTTTTAATGAAGCCATCATAGAATTAATAAATGCATAGCATTTATTAGTGTTAAAAGATGTCAAACATGATCCCAACACAAAGCACAACCTGGTCAGTAGGTGTGTGATTATATACAGTATACATGAACATTATCATAGCACATTCACTACAGTTTAAAAAATGGTAATAAAATATGACAAAAAAAAAATCTTCACAATCTTCATAATGTCATGTTAGTCTGACAATATGCACGTAAATCAATATTTTGTTGTTTCACCATTAGCCTCAATGTCAGCCTGTAGTCTCTGCTGTCAACCAGCTTTATGCAAACCTGAACTTCAGTATTTTTGCAGACTCACTGCATCAGATTCTACTGCGCCTGTTGACTTTTAGTCCACTGTATGGAGAATTCCAGGATACAATTTGTCACTCATTCAAACAAGATGACCTCAGTTCAGTCAATTAGCTATGTAGGAAACATGAGAAGATATTGTTAGGTACACATCTTTGTTGTTTTTGGCACAACATGTTAATATATTCATTGCTGTAGGGTTGAGGTCAGAGATTTACACTCACTAAAAGAATGTCTTTAGGGTTAAGAAAAAATCATGTCAAACTTATAGTAAACAACTGGCAGCTGTAGTTGCCATAAAAGAAATCAAGATAACTTTTCTGTGGTGGGATGTTAGAGTTTTTACTGCATGTAGTTATAACCACATAACTAATACAAAAGCCTGGATGAGACCAGATTTAGGGAGACAGTGATCTGCCCAAAAGAGTGAATGAATTGCTGCAGTTTGATAAACATCTCGATGTTATTCAAATGTGTATATCTATATTAATCACTGCAAAAAAAGTCTTTCAAATTTTCTTAATTTTCTATTGTTTATGGTTTTTATTGCACGTGAATCAATGTGGCATCACATTTTTTTTTTGTAATAAAATTAATTAGATCTAAAAATAGCACAAGGCAGTGCCATTATCTCACTAATAGCAAACCTTATTCATAAAGGGAATAAATTGTGCAAGTTAATCCACTGGAAAAAAAAACAGCTTGCTTTGGTAATCTTCCATCAAAGTCTGACCAGTTGCTTTCATATGGTGACGGTCATACCTGGCAACATTCAGATCCTAAAAAAATCTGGGAGATTCTATCAGGGGTTGGATGCGCAAAATGAAGAGCGGGGGGTGGGTGGTGGTGGTGGGGGGGGTTGTTTTGTTGCGCGCGAACTGAAGAACTGGGGGGTTCCGGGAGTTATACGGCAGATGGCCGTACGGGAAAGTTCTGGGAAAAACTTGAGCGTTGGCTGGTATGGTGACGGTCCTTCTGTTGACGTCAACTTGATGGCTCTCATAGCAATTGTTTACTACAATTGCCGCGGACCAGTACCAGACAAAAAAAAAATCATTAATTATTCCCGTTTTATTTATTATTGGAGTCTGAACAATCTTTTATTTTGAAAAGTCTTTTATTTTGAAAAACGACCGTATTCTCTCGATCTTACATCTCGAGATTAAATCTGTCTTTTGAAAGTTTTTTACTTAGGGGAAACAGCCCAGTGATGGACCCGCGAACTGCCAAGGAATGAATCCGCAAACTATTTGTCAACAAAACAGGTAAATCCACCTGTCCAAATGCACCGTCTGTGCAAGAAGAGGAGTTACTGCTGGAGATCCCAAATGATGGTGGCCTTATAGGGGCCGTTCGTATATCGCATCTTTTCTAGAGTTCATACAAGTTTGTTGTTTCCAATGGAGGTGTGTGGCTTACACGCACAAGTGGCATGACGCACTCGTGCCTTCCAGACCAGACGCATTCAGTTAAATGAATCCCGCCAGAGCACTGCAAGACACATGACAAGAACTGACTGATCAGCTTCAGCTTATATGAAATATACATATTTTGGTAGACTAATTATCTCAGACAAACACAGAACACCTATTCACTGTAGTGCTTTGTAATTTGTTCCATAAATAAAACTTGTATTAGAGTGACAGCAATATTTGGTCAGTTTGTCTTCCGCTGAGACAAAGGTTGACGGTTGCCTAGCCTTGATCATATAGACCATTTCAATGTGATCATATCATTGGCTCATGAACATTTCCTACTTGTTATCAACTAGGAAATGTTCCTTTTCTGCATTGACAAACTTTTTTCTTTTCTGCATTGACAAATGTCCCTATTATACTGTGATAATACTGTGTATGTGTAAGAACATGTATTTCATCATTTAAACATTTTAAAAATGCTCATATTATATGATCTATGATGGGTTAATCTCACGACTCCATTTCAACAGAGATTAGAGCTGGATTTCAACGTTAATTCATCGACTTCTTCCTCAATGCATGAAAGCCAGTGGCTGCTTAACTGAGCGAATATTACAATAAACATTCTAGTGACCTAAACAGTGTGTATCTAAATTGAATAAAGCACATATTATGGGTAAAATGATTGTAATAGCTGTCTCTATAGATTATATATATATATATATATATATATATATATATATATATATATATATATATATATATATATATATATATATAGCTTATATTTATTAACCATAAATGTTGTGTGCTTGCTAGTACTTACATTTTGTGTATTTAAATGTCTGAAACCAAAAATTATTTAAATTTAACAGCTTTCATACTGAACATTCAAATCATTGGTGTGATCAGGTACCAGAAAATGCTGATCACATCAGTGTGGTTGTACACATCTAAGGTTTAAATTATATTTTTCCATAGAAGTTTTCAAACCCAGGAATCACTTTAAAGACTTTTTGGCCTGAATGGCCTTCCATATTGGGCTGCACAGAGTTGTCTTAAGCAATTTGTGTCCTGAGAATACCTCTGCCATGAGTCTGCCCTCAGTCACATTCTTTCCTATCCAGCATGTTCTGTTCTGAGGTAATACTAAGAGATAAAATACCACAAGCACAGGAATTAGAGGTTTCATGAACTGTGCTCAACACCTCTCTCTGTTCTCCACCTCGACCTCAGCCCCAGCCTTGATATCGTGATCTTGTGTGATTTATCCAGCTCAGAGGGAGTGAAACGAACGCACACACCGGAATGCTGGAGGTGTGATGAGAGTCATGCAAACCTGTCACTAGTTTATTGTATCTCTTTTATAAAAACCAGTTCACACACTTTAAATTATGTAAGAAGTAAACCAGTGCTATCTGCAATTATTATCCGCCACCTCATTTCACCTCTGAGCACATCAATGCATACTGTACAATAGCATTAGACTTCAAAATCTATCATACACTCAGCACAATAAGGCGCAAGATGTGTTTGGTGTATTTTGTTGCTGTTTTTAGACCTTTCATTCATTCATTTTCTTTTCAGCTTAGTCCCTTTATTAATGTGTTGTCGCCACAGCGGAATAAACCACCAACTTATCCAGCACGTTTTTACGCAGCGCATGCCCTTACTGCTGCAAACCATCATTGGGAAACACCCATACAATCTCATTCACACACATACACTACGGACAATTTTAGCTCACCCAATTCACCTGTACTGCATCCCTTTGGACTTGTGGGAACCACCTGGAGAAAGCAGGGTAGAACTTGCAAACTCCACACAGAAATGCCAACTGGCTCTTGCTGTGAGGTGACAGTGCTCATACTTTACTTGTCAAAAAGTATTATAACAAATTAAATGGATTCCTTGTTAAATGACAATCTATTCAACTGGTGTGGTAAAGAGATTTATTTTAGCTAGGAGTGACTGAGTTATCTTTATGCTACAGAGTACTAGTTTGCTCCTGAGTTGAGTCAGTCCCGACACTCTTGGAAATAAAGGTACATGAGCTGTCACTATTTTTACACAAGGTACAAATTTATACCTTAAAACAGCGGCTCCCAACAGAGGGATCCTGGCCCACAACGGGGCCTCAGCGAGCTTTGTGTGGGGTGGCGTCATATTTTAAATTTCTTAGCATTCTTATGTTGCCTAAGTTTATTTTATCCCCTAGCTCATTGGTCCTCAACCTTCAGTCGATGTATCAATTGGTACCAGGCTGAACAAGAAATCATTCATTATTTCGGTTTTATTATTATTTGAGTCTTAACGAAAATAATAAAATTTTATTTTAAAAAGTCTTTTTTTTTTTTTTTGAAAAATTACCGTATTCTCTCGCTTACATCTCGGTCCCTTTAGCACCCAAATTTAACCCAAAAGCAGCAAAATGAGTAAGAAACAGACATATTTGGAAAGTTTCTTTGCCAAGGAGAAAAGGCCAAGTGAAGGACTGCTATGAAATGGATCTGCAACCCATTTGTCAACAAATCAGGTGAATCCAGCATGTCTGTGCAGGAAGATCAAATGATGGAGATGACGGTTGCCTTTTAGGAGCCGTTCCCATATCGTGTATTTCTAGAGTTTGCACAAGTTTGTTGTTTCCAATGGAAGTGCGCGGTTTGTGCACACAAGCGGCGTGATACGCTCGCACCAATGAACCCCAGGCCGCGAATGCACCGCAAGTCACGTGACAAGAATAGACAGATCAGCTTCAGCTTGTATGGAGTATTTACATTTCGGTAAGATTAGTTTTCTCAGACAAACACAGAACACACCAACACTGCAGTGCTCTGTACTTTTCTCCATAAATAAAAC